GAACAAAGAGCTTAGGCAGTGCATCCGGAAGGCCAGCCATGATGACATTGAAGAGTAGTGGTGACAGCACGCTTCCTTGTGGTAAACCGCGAGCGCACGAACGAGAAGTGCTGAGGGACGACCCGAGCTTTATCTTCAGACTTCGGTGGCTCAACAGGTTGCTGAGGAAGCCTTGGACGCGACCAGTAATTCCCATGGCTGTGAGAGATCGAAGAACTGCTGAGGGATCAACATTATCAAAAGCCTGTGTAACGTCAAAAATACTGCCAGTGTTGACCTTCCTTGATTGGTATTGTGCTCGATGTCACTTACAATATCAAGAATGCTGTCTGTTGAGCAGAGTCGTGGCCGAAAGCCAGTCATGCAATGTGGGAATAACTTCTTTGTGTCGATCCACCACATAAGCCTGGCATGCACCATCCTCTCCATAAGTTTACACAGGCACGATGTCAAAGATACTGGACGATACGAGGCCAGGAGAGCTGGATGTTTGGAAGGTTTCTTGATTGGTATTATCCATGCCGTGAGCCAGATGTCTGGTATTTTGCTAGTGATCCATATTTCATTGAAAAAATTCAAAATATATTCTATGTAGGTGGTTGGAAGGTTTTGTAGCATCTGATTGCTGAAGGCCCAGGGGAACTTTTCCGCCTACATGCTCGCAGAGCCGCCTCAAGTTCTTTCGCAGTGAATGCCGTATCCAGAGCCGATGTTGAAGTGTCTGGCTGAACGTTGCTTGGTGGCTTGCTTTGAACTGCTGCGTACCTGTCAGCGAACTCTTCAGCAATATTGGCAATGTTGGTGCCACGCGAGAGGGCCAAGGAGGCGTACGGTGCACGCGGTTTTCTTCTACCGGAAAGGCTGTCGATGATGCGGTATACCTTGGAAATGGGAGTGTGCATATCGGAGCTGGACCACAGCTTTTCCCACTGCGCTCGGCTCAGCTTCTTTGCGTAACGGTGAATAAAAGCATTGATGCGATTAAATTCGGTTTTATATATGCCAGCTCCCGTGCGCATAAGAGATAGCTGCGATCGCCGCCGCGCAGGGCAGATATTTTGTAAGGTGAGATCGGGTGCTGGGAAATGCTCTGGTAGCCGAATTGTTTTTGTTGCTGCTTTCTTGCTTTGAATTATTGTGTCCACGATACTTAGATTTGAGTCACCAAGGCCAGAGCGAAAAGTGTCCCAATTCGTGACATGAAATGTTCGTTGTCGGGAGGTCTGGTAACCTTTCATAGAAACAAAAATTGGGAAATGGTCGCTGCCCATCGTGTCAGGACCTATTTGCCACGTTACTTGAAGTTCCGACGAATGTGCGGTCAGATCTATGGCACTAAAAGAGGCAGGATATCTGAAAAAGGTAGGTGATCCGTCATTTGCGATAGCGAGCTCTTCAACCTCGAAGATTTCGGCCAGTAGTCGTCCTCGTTCATCAATTCTTGCGTCTCCCCACAATTCATGATGAGCGTTCCAATCGCCACATATAATGACTGGCGTTGGACAGCGTTTACAGAGTTCTTTTACTATAGCGTCTACCGCTACCTTTACCGAGGCCGTGCATAAACCGATACGACGCTGAGATATTTTTCTCTAAGTTGCACTCTGGCCGCCGCTAGGTCTACCAACTCTGTGCACAAATCATCAACTGGTATCTCTATGTGAGGCACTCCATTACGCACATAGAGTGCTGCACTACCATTGGGAAACGATGAGATCGATGGGTTTTTTGTACACGTCGTACCCGGAAGTTGTTCGCTGCAGCGGTAAGCCCGCTTCACATAGTGCAAGAATTGGGATAGGCATTGTCTGTAGCAGTAACTTTAACTCGCAAAGACGGGGTTGGATTCCAGCGCAGTTCCATTGAAGCAGCAGTGGTACTTTTCTTGGCGGCTTTGGATTTCCTCCACTGCTCATGGCCTCAAATAAGCCTTAGGTGGTGAAGAGAGTGAGGAGCGTTGTCAGTATTGAGTGAGATGTTGGAGCCCAGGGTGCAGCGATTGAGGCAAGTACATTGCAAGATAAATTGAGTATGAGCTTCATAATCGATGTCCAGGTTGTCTCGACAGTCTCTGTTTCCATCTCTGATGTGTTTTTCTTTGCCTGTCTTGGTTCCTGCTTTCATTCAGTCACCGTACGTGAAGGCTCTGAATTTGGTTTCGTTTTGGCAAAGATGACTGGAATGTTTGGTTCTTGGTCTGCCAGCGCAGCGGCATACGTTATTCCTGTACGTGGAAGTGGAGGTGTCTTTTGCACTTCCATCTTTTTGCTTCGCTCTACAATCAGTGGTGGGTCAGTTGGTTTTATGCTGGGTTGTGAATTCTTCTCTGCCAAGGTGCTCTGCTTCAGCTGCTGGAGTGCAGATTTCGCCGAAGGAAAGCTCAGATCGTGGTTTTTGGCATAGGTTAGAATGTCTTGTTCATGTTTCCACCTAGGGTATAATGGTGACGTTGCCTCATGCGAACCGTTGCAGTTCAAGCACTTGGCGGGACGATTCGAGCAATCGACCTTTTCTGTGCCTGTTATTACGTGACACTCACCGCATCTACTGCATCCAGGAGGTCTCTTGCAGGCAATGGTGCGATGTCCAAAGCCACTGCAATTTTTGCACTGGATCGGCCGCTCCTTGAAAACTGCCACTGAGTGTCGGACGTGGCCAAGGAGAACATGGGATGGCAATTCGGTACCAGCAAAGTTAATCTTGACAGACTCGGAGGCGCCCAGTCTACGCAGTCTTGTTATGCGAACTGCGGATCTGATGTTCTCAGTGATCTCGGCGTCCGATAGGTTGGTTTCGACATCTCGAATCCCACCTACTGCCGCAGAGCGCGAGGAAGGTTCGTAGGCGGTTACTTGTAGGCCGCAGATGGACGTGCAGTTGAGAAGCGTTCGCGTTGTCTGGCCGTTTCGTGTGTCTACGGCGATTAAATTGAGTCTGTCATTGACGCGTACTTCGATGATGCACTCAGGACAAAGCTTTTCTAGAGCTTTAGAGATCTTGAGGCTTCCGAGCGTAATGATAATCTGATCAGGCTTGTTTTATGTAAAGATTACCGTCAGCGACTCAGTGTTTCTTGAGGTTGTGCAATTTCCTGAGAGATGCACTGTAGATGAGGAGGTAGAGCTCCCCTGCTTCTGCCTTTTTCGAGTTGATTTAACAGTGTGCCACTTGGCGGACGCATTATCCTCGGCGTCCATGTCGGCGATGTCACTAACGGATAACGGTGGGAAGAGTTCGTAACGGTTGCCTTCAGGGAGGGACGAAGGACCAGCATCAGTTGTGCAAGTTTGCTGACCAGGCGTGATGGCAGAAAGGGCTGCTGAGCTGTCGCTTGAAGGAATCATGCCCTCTCCGGCTTGCTGGGACATCACTGGGGCTGGAACGAAGGCCCTGAAAGGGCGCCCTCCCCGACTTCAAAGGATTGCGATCCAAAAGTAGGGTTTCAAGAAGCCGCGAAGGAACAGAGCGTCCGCTTACGACCACTTCTTCGTCTTTTTTCCCGGAACAGATTAGAACTTTAAAACGTGCATCTGCCATCGCTACGTCTTCGTCTTCCGTGGTTCCCGGCACCCGCCTCAGCTCGCCGCTACAATATATCTTGGTCCTGCTTCACACGAAGAAGTAGAAGAAGAGACATAAGTTGATAGTCAGCGCTGTGTTTATCTTTCTATGCGTCCTTTCCTTTTGTACTTGCTCATCGCACGCTGTTGATACTGATATTAGCTCTCACTAACTCACCCAGGCTTCCTTCCATATAGTTTTCATACTGTACGCTAGAGGTTCAACTGACGCCAGTGTCTATGCGACTTCAGGCCTCCAAATTGAAGCAGACATCAACCAGTCTATTTTTGCGTGCTCATGTGCGTTCCTACAGGAAAACGTGCGTGCATTTTCACGGTTCGCCCGAAAATCACATAAATACTTTTTGCTATTTGAGTTGTACTGAATAGTGCGTACATTTATTGACACGGTAAACGTGTAATTCCTTTAGTTGTAGCATGTTTCTTCATCCGTGAACCATGTTAAACTTCGCTATATTTCAGGCACGAACCTGTGTTCCACAGAAGGTGTCTAAATTCGAGAGACGAATCTAAGCAAGATACCAATATAAAGTAATCTAGGGTGTGTCGAAAATTCGCTAGCATAACGGTGACGCTTATATATTTATTTATTTATTTATTTATTTACCCTAATGGCCCTGACGGCCTTTTGCTAAAATGGCAGTCCTGTCACAGGCATACGGAAATGACCCTATCGCGCATCTTTACGAGCGGCTAAAAACATTAAATGCGTAAAGAACGAAGTACGTGGGTTATGAAAAAGTGTCTCTCTTTATAATTTTCTAAGTCAGGCAGCCTTTATCGGTCACCTGTTTTCTGGCTTTGCCCTCTTTTCAAAGATTTCGCGCCCGAGCGGGTTTTGTTTCGAACTCTAAACAAGCATCAACAAGCATCTTCGCACATGTGCACGAGCAGAGAGAATACGGTGTGTAAGTTGGTCCGCATTTGTTTACCCCCCAAACACGACCACGTGCTTTTGTGTACCCTTACCTCAACCAATGACGGCGTGCGCTTGTCTGCCTGGTCATCGCGCCCTCCTTTCCCTGGGCGTTCTCTGTGTTCCCCTTTCATTGGCGTCCTCCTCCTTGCATTCAAATGCGCCAGAGACCCATATTGGGACACTTGTTCGCCGTATAACGCAATACGTGTTTTATTGCGAATCGGTCTTCATTTTTATCGTCTACAGGCATAGGGAGTTACTGATCCAGCGTTACTGCGTAGTACTTGCCGTCTTTCTTGGTTGTCCCCGTGATCTTCGATCCCATGTGTAGCAGCGTGGCGCTGCAAGTCACGGCGCACCACGGCGCATCGGCTGTGCGCACCCCGGTCACGGATGTCACGTGACAAGCGCCTATAAGTATAGCACGGTCAATAAAGAAGCCCTCTTTGCCCGTTGGAATGTCGTCTGCTCAAGTTATCACATTGGCGACGAAGATGACAACGCACCCGCGCTGCCCAGCGGAAGCGTCGCAGACGGCAGCAGACGAGCACCATACGAGCGGGGCCAACTGAACGGACAGCGACAGCCAAAGCAGCGCAGTCATCGCATCTCAAGCGTGCGACGGACGGAGCGGACACGACGGACGGAAGCCAGCAACCGATAAGTACACCGTCGGTTTGCCGAAATATGGCACCTCTTGGAAAGCTTGACGAATACGACGAAAAACAACAGAATTTTGACTCGTATTTAGAGCGTTTCGAGCACTTCGTTAGCGCAAACGACATCAAACCAGAAAAGAAGCTAGCGGTGTTCTTGACCGTTATAGGACCTCGAGCTTACGAAGTTCTGAAAAGCTTGGTCGTACCGGCAGTACCGGGAGATAAGTCGTTCGAAGAAGTGAAAGTTTTGCTGAAAAACCACTATAGCCCGAAGAGCTCGGTCATAGCGGAAAGGTGCAAATTCAACAGACGTGTACAAGAGGAACAGGAGAGCGTTGAAGATTTCATTGTAGCGCTAAAGCATTTGGCAAGGAAGTGTGACTTTGGCCAGTTTCTGCAAGATGCTCTGAGGGACAGGCTTGTGGCGGGAATACGGCGCGAAGAAACGCAACGTGCGCTATTCGCCGAAGAAAGCTTAACCTTCGAAAGGGCATGCAAGATCGCATTGGATCAAGAGCAGGCGGCACGACAGACAGCGTTACTACACGCCGGAAGCAAAGACGCGTCGTTGAACGAGATAAGAGCGAACCAGAAAGATAACGTCAATAAGCGTGACGTTCGAAAACACAAGCAAAGCAAGAAGTCTTGCGAAAGATGTGGAAGGGCGCATGCGGCAAGCAAATGTTGGTACAAGAATGCTACGTGTCACAAGTGTGGCAAGTTAGGCCATTTGCAAAAAGTGTGCTCGAGCGAGAAAAAGGGACCCAAGAACGCGAATGCAGTGGACTGCTCGGAGGACGATTCAGAACTGGACGTCTATCACTGCCTTAACACTGTGCGTTCGGGTTATGAAGTGAAAGTCAATGTTGAAGGGGCGGACGTTTTCATGCAAATTGATACAGGAGCGGCTGTAACAATTGTTCCTGAAAGTGTTGCGAAAACCGTGTTCCCTCATGTCAAGTGTGAGCCATCTCGGGTAAACCTAAAAACGTACACGGGTGAACGAATCCCGGTAAAAGGGCAATGTGACGTTTCCGTCACATACGAAAACCAGACTTTGAAACTGCCCGTTATCGTCGTCGATAACCAAGGCAAGAAATTGCCGTTGCTCATGGGGCGGAACTGGCTTGAGAGGCTCAGACTTGATTGGAAAAGCGTCATGTCACTGGAGCATGTAACTGATTCACACCGAATAGAAGCGCTGCGTAACAAGTTCCCGACAGTATTTTCTAATCAGTCTAGTGTCACGAACAACTATCAAGCGAAGATAGTTCTAAAACAAGATTGTACGCCGGTTTTTTGCAAGGCGAGACCGGTGCCTTACGCGTTACGCGATAAGGTTGGAGAAGAGCTGGACAGGCTAGAGAAGAGCGGGGTTTTACGCCGCGTAAGTCACAGTGAGTGGGCGACTCCGGTAGTTGTAATTCACAAGAAAGATGGATCACTCAGGTTGTGCGGGGATTACAAAGTAACGATCAACCCTGTACTAAAAACCGACCATTACCCACTGCCGCGACCTGAAGATCTGTACACTGCCATCGCAGGTGGCAAAGTGTTTTGCGTGCTGGATCTTTCTGCTGCGTATCAGCAGGTACCGCTGGCTGCCGAGTCCAAACCACTTTTGACTATAAACACGCACATGGGGTTGTTTCAGTTCCAACGCCTACCGTTTGGTGTGGCCAGTGCGCCAGCCATTTTTCAGTCCTTCATGGACGAGGTGCTTAAAGGCATACCTCATGTGGGATGCTACATTGATGACGTCATCGTGTCTGGAAAGGACACCCAGGACTGTCAAAAGACGCTGGAATGCGTCTTGCGTCGACTTCGTGACTACAATGTCACTTTGAAAACGGACAAGTGCCGTTTTTTTCAAAGCTCGGTGACCTACCTGGGTCACACGGTGAGTGCCGATGGCATTTACCCGACAGAAGCAATGACAAAGGCTATCACAGAAGCGCCCGAGCCCACCTGCGTAACGGAACTGAAGGCGTATTTGGGGATGCTAAACTTTTACGCTAAGTTTCTCAAGAATGTTTCGTGCGTAGCTGAACCGCTTTATCGGTTGTTGAAAAAAGGTGAAAAGTGGTCGTGGACTCGGAAGTGCAGCGAGGCCTTTGCTGCTACGAAGCAGTTGCTCGTAAACAGCCAGGTTCTTACGTTCTACGACGTAGACAAGCCAATTGCATTGCTGTGTGATGCTTCATCGTACGGGATTGGTGCTGTCATTTTTCATGTAACACCAGAAGGGGAAGAGCGCCCAGTGGCGTTCGCGTCGCGAACGCTCACGTCAGCGGAAAAGAACTATGCGCAGTGCGAGCGAGAAGCGCTAGCTCTGATGTTTGGTCTGAAAAAGTTCCATCGCTACCTGTATGGTAGGGAGTTCACTCTCTATACAGACCATCAGCCACTGCTTGGGATACTGGGGCACGATAAGCCTGTACCTACGCTAGCGGCAGCTCGAATGCAAAGATGGGCAATGATTCTTGCAGCCTATAGGTACAAACTCAAGTACCGTAAAGGAAAAGATGTCGAGGTGGCTGATGCTCTGTCTAGACTCCCACGACCGATGACAACAGCTGACGACCCTGCTGAGTGTCTTTTGTTGTTTGACAGTACTCCCTTGACCGCGGAAGACGTAGCTAGAGCTACAAAACGTGACTTGACCTTGTCTCGCGTAGCTAACTACGTTCTGAATGGATGGCCTGCCCAAAGTAGCGAAGAGCTAAAACCGTACCATGTACGACGTGACGAGTTGTCATTTGAGCAAGGCTGCGTCACCTGGGGCTCAAGGGTGATTGTACCTGAAAAGCGGCAGTCACAGGTTTTGGCACTGTTGCATGAGGACCATCCAGGTGCTAGCCGCATGAAAATGCTTGCCAGAAGTTTTGTATGGTGGCCAGGGCTAGACCTAGAAATCGAGAGCTACGTACGACAGTGTCGCGTATGTCAGTCTGTTCAGAACGCTGCTCCACCTGTACCGTTACAGCCATGGAGCTATCCAACTAAGCCGTGGCAACGAGTACACGTGGATTTTGCTGCTAAAGAAGGCCATGTCTTCCTAGTACTGGTGGATGCTTTCTCGAAATGGATCGAAGTGTGGTCCATGTCTTCCACCACTACTGGTAAAACACTCGACAAATTGCGAAGTGTATTTGCGGCTTATGGGCTACCAGAGGTACTGGTGAGTGATAACGGACCTCAGTTTGTTTCAGATGAGTTCTCTGAGTTTATGAGGGTGAATGGCATCAAGCACGTTAAGACGCCACCCTATCATGCTGCCTCCAACGGCGCAGCAGAGCGTCTCGTGCAGACCACAAAAAAAACTCTGCTGAAGCAATTGTTAGACGAGAAACAGAGTGGCAAGAAACACTCTTTGCTCGAACGTTTGGATAGCTTTTTACTGAGCTATCGAAACACCCCAAACAGTACCACTGGTCGCACTCCAGCCGAGCTGTTTTTGAAGCGACAGCCACGAGTGAAACTTTCTTTGCTTAAACCCGATTTTGTAAAAGCCATGCAAAACAAACAGCAGCACCTGAAGGAACAGAGTGATGCGTCGCGAGGTGCTAACCGGTCTTTTGTTGTGGGTGATACTGTGTTGGTCAAAACGGTGCGAGGCGAGCTAGTGTCATGGGAAGAAGGTGTGGTGACTCAAGTCGTCAGTCCTGTGACATATTTAGTGAAAGTGGCGCAGGTTGTGCGGTTCACACACGCCGACCACATCCGAGACCGCCTTGCAAGCCCGACGTCCCTTGCTGCACCGCCTACGCCGGAGGAGCCTACGCTCCCAGATGTTCCGGTGCCTCGAGAAACTCAGCCGATGGTGCCACAAGTTGCTTCTGCTGCTATGCCAGCGGACTCTCAAGCCGGCAGTCAACAAGCTACACGGACGCGTCAGCAGCCGCTTCCACCACCGAGTTCCACAAGTGCGCCAGTGACGACACCGGAGCCTTGTACTGAGGCACCGACTTCCAGAAGAAGTACGCGAGTGCGGCGTCCACCGGACAGGTACAAACCGGAGGACTTCCGAAGCTGATGTGAGGGGGAAGGAATGTAGCAGCGTGGCGCTGCAAGTCACGGCGCACCACGGCGCATCGGCTGTGCGCACCCCGGTCACGGATGTCACGTGACAAGCGCCTATAAGTATAGCACGGTCAATAAAGAAGCCCTCTTTGCCCGTTGGAATGTCGTCTGCTCAAGTTATCACACCATGCAGGAAAGCACCGACGACGTGTTCGCGGTAATAGTGCCCGACAATGCCCAGATATACATGTATGCAGCTATTTTAGCACTATGTTTTACGACATGTATTTGGCGAACACACTGTAATTGACCGATATTTTTATTTGAGTTATTAAAAAATGTTCCAAACTAATTACTACTTCATAATTATTCGTAATATTAGCTTCTGTATTCGAAAGCAAAGAAACAATTCACCCGCTTTTTCCCGTAGAAATGCTTTACCTGAAGTTAAGCTTCGACTGGTTGCTGTCTGCTTCGCTTTTTAACAGCACACAAGGGACAGCTAAATCTCTAGTGTACATTTAAATACGTCAATGCTTCCATCTTCTGGTATTGCATTTCAACGGGGAAAAGCCGGTGCATTGTTTCTTTGAGCTTGATATAAGAGCAAATGTTACGAAAAAGTATAACGCTAATAGCTCAAAACATTTCTCAATCAAGTAAATTAGAATATTGGTTAGCTACGGTGTTTTTGTTTCAAATTTATGTCAATAAACAACTGCTAAAACAGCTTCATACATGCATTTATGTGCACGGTCGGGCACTAATAGCGCGGCACTTTTCTGCATGGGGGATTTACGTACCAAGCGAACGGAGGACATCTGGAAAGACAAGAGAGACGCCAAGAACTAGGCAGAAACACGAGATCAGTAGAATAAAGTGACAGCCAAAATAATGCAGTCCGATTTGCAACATCTGAGTATTGCTTTTCGATGTTTATTCTCCTGCTCGCGCATATATACGAACCGAACATGAATATCCCCCGCACGGTCGAACTCTCAAAATAGGGGGAAGCCAAAAAACCGGTGCCCGACAAAAACTCCCCAGCATAGAAAATAATACAAAGAAATACCCCTCATAACCCGCGTACGGTATTCCTCACATTTTTAACGATTAACCGCTCGTAAGAGATAGTAGACCGTGTTTTCCCCTCCGCTAAGTCCCTCCGCTCCCCGGAACTCTACAGCCAAGGCCATCGGCACGCAAGCGCAGTGGCGGTTTTTTCGTAGTGGAGGGCTAGCGGGGGGGGGAAGGGGGGGGGGGGGGGAACACGGTCTACTAAAACTCCCTAGTTTTAGTGGACCATACGCAAAAGCCTTGCGTACGCAAAGAAATTGCGGGTCGGGAGTGCGAATACGCAGAACTCAATAGAAATGCTAGCGTATTGCGTACGCACGCAACGGTGGGGGTTTGTCGTTGCGGGCTAGCGGGCTTTGCAGGAAGCTCTCGAGAGATCTCGGGCCCAGCGAGAGCGCCAGTTTCAAGATGGCGGTTACCTCGACTGGCGCAGGAATGGCGACGTGGTTTTCGCGAAGTTCAGTGTTACGTGAAGTTGCGTGTTTTTCAGGTGTGCAATGGACCTTTTTCCAGTAAGGAGTGCCTCACGACGGTTTTGCCGCGTACTACAAATGGAGGGCAACCGGACTCGCCTTCTCCCGTAGGAACAGATTAGCGTCGCAACAGAACAGTGCCCCCCAAGAATGGCGAAAGGGCGGTCAAGGTCAAGGGAAAGGGTGTGCGCGTGCGCAGACGTTTACTGGAAAACGGTCCATTCTTTCCGGGACCTACCATGTTCGAGTCCAATCGCCGCGCAGCTGAAGGAGTACACAGTAGGGAGTTTTCGTAGACCGCGTTTCCCCCTCCGCTAAGCCCTCCGCAACGAAGCGCCCTGCGCCTGCGCTCCGATGGCCTTGACTGTAGAGTTCCGAGTATCGTAGTGGGTTGCGGAGAGCGTTGCGGGACGGCCAAAACGATCTTCGAAAACTCCCTAGTGAAAATGTTCACCGCTCGCAATGTGCGTGAATGCTGCGACCTGGGCGGCTAAGCTCGGCACGGAGAGATCAAGGCAAGTTCTCCGCCAAACTCGCCGCCCGCCGCGATTGGTCGGCGCCATGCATGACGACACGCGCCGTCACTCCCTAGATTGTGACGTCAGAACGGAGGGTTTGAGGCCGTCTTACCGCTCATTCACACTGGAAGCGGATCCGCATTCGCAAAGCGGTTGCGAACGCGGTTGTATAAAGATCCAATACAATTGCACGCGCACTTGATGTAATCGTGTGCGCGTGCAATGACACTGTACCTTCATACAACCGCGTTCGCAACCGCTTTGCGAACGCGGATCCGCTTCCACTGTCAAAATCAAATTGGACGTTTGAGTGATTTATACAGCGTAAGGTTGGTCTGCCAGTAGAGGCGACACTGGTTTACACTCTAGATGAGCAATTTAGCCAGTGCGGTACAACCGCTAGCCTGGGGTCTTTAACGTGCATCACGCAGTAGTGATACACGACCGCACGCCGGTACGATGCTCACCCAGATCGAAACGGGCAGGGGTGGGGCTCGAACCCAGGATCCCTGGGTTCTGCAGCGCGAGCTTTCGCTCCACGCGCGTCGAGCTGGGTCTGCGCTTCAGCCCACTCGGCCACCGATCCCCTCCTCCAGTGTGAATTTAGAGTGGCATATTCGGAACTCGCGTCGAGATGCTGTGATGTCATTGTGACGCGGCATACGGGGAAGGCGTGCGCGTGTGGCGCGTGGAACACCAATCTCTGCATTCTCCTTGATGCTTGGGTATAATATAGCGAATGGTCTATTCATGTCCAGCTTCGGTTTTT